TGGAATGGGATAATGGTGATAGACATCCATGGAATTCCCACTGGAATGGGTCTGGGGTGAGATCTGACAATAGAATTCCTACTGGAATGGGATGCAGGGGAGATCTGACCATGGAATTCCATGGGAACAGGATGGGGGCAAGATCCGCCCATGGAATTCCATGGGAATGGGTTGGGGGCAAGATCTGCCCATGGAATTTCATAGGAATAGGATGGAAGTGAGATCTATCCATAGAATTCCCACAAGAATTCCCACGTTCCCAAGTCCTCCATCCCCAAATCCCAAATTCCCACAGGATTTCTGCTCCCACCTTTGCGCTCCAGCTCCTTCTGCCCATATCTGACGTATTTCTGGAGCCATTCCGGGCATTCGTGCTTCAGGTAATTCGTCCACCTCTCAGCCTCCCCTTCCTGTTCCCAGCGCCTCCTGGTGTTCTCAGCACCGCTGTCGGCTGGGATGAATCTCCCAGATTCCAGGTCAAAGGAGATGAAATCCCACCCCTCGTAGCCATCCCGGTAGGATCCACGGACGCTCCCATCGGACAGGAGCTCACAGCCATAAACCCACAGCCGTGTGTGGAGACCTGGGGGGATTGTACCCACAGAGACCCATGGAATTGTGTCCCAGCCCCACAGAGCCCCATTCCAGCCCTATGGAGCCCCAGAGTGTGAGGGAGACCCACAGAGCCTCATCCCAGCCCCTTGGAGCCCCATGGATTCACATCCCAACCCCACAGATCCCATCCCAGCCCCATGGATCACAAGATATCCCATTCCAGCCTAATGCATCCCATTTCAGCCCCTTGGAGCCCTGTGAGTCCACAACTGGAGACCTGCAGAACCCATCCCAGCCATTCAGTTCCCATTCCAGCCCCACAGATCCCATCCCAGCCCCATGGATTCATATCCCACTCCCATGGATCTAAACCCAGCCTCACAAATTCAATCCCAACCCCATGGATCCATATCCCAACCAATGGATCATGAGATATTCCATCCTAACCTAATGAATTCTCATTTCACCCCCTTGGAGCCCTGTAAGTCCACACCTGAGACCTATAGATCCCATTCCAGCCCCATGGATCCCCATACCAACCCTATGGATCCCAACCCAGCCCTACAGATCCCATCCCAGCGCCATGGATCACAAGCTATCCCATCCCAGTCTAATGGATCCCCATTTCAGCCCCTCGGAGCCCTGTGAATCCACACCTGAGACCTACAGTTCCTATCTCAGCCCCATGGATCCCAACCCAGCCCCACAAATCCTATCTCAGCCCCATGGATCCCAACCTGTGGATCACAAAATATCCCATCTCAACTTAATGGATCCCCATTTCAGCCCCTTGGAGTCCTGCGAATCCACACTGGGGACCTATAGATCACATCCCAGCCCATAAATCCTCATCCAAGCTCTACAGTTCCCATTCCAGCCCCACGAATCCACATCCCAACCCCATGAATCCAAACCCAGCCCCACAGATCCCATCCCAGCCCCATGGATCACAAGCTATCCCATCCCAGCCTAATGGATCCGCGTTTCAGCGCCTTGGAGCCCTGTGAATGCACACCTGAGACCTATAGATCCCAACCCAGTCCTATGGATCCTCACCCCAGTCCTACAGTTCCCATTCCAGCCCCACAGATCCCATCTTAGCCCCATGGATCCACATCCCACTCTCACAGATCCCACATCAGCCCCACACATCCCAACCCATGGATCACAAAATATTCTATCCCAACCTAATGGATGCCCATTTTCACTCTCTTCAAAACTTGTGAATTCACATGTGAGACCTACAGATCCCATTCCAGCACCACAGATCTCATTTCAGCCCCACAGATCCCATTCCAGCCCCACAGATCCCCCCACTCACCCCTGCTCTGGTTGTACCGCTCCCGGAATATCTCCAGGTCCCTGGCAGCCACGTGCTGGTTCCTCACACCAGTCTGGGTGTTCCTCTCCCAATATTCCGGATCAGCTGAATCCTTTACGCACTCTGACAGTGGCTCCATCCGGCCCCTCTCGCTGTCGTAGCGCGTGAAGGGGATCCCATCCACAAACCCAATTTCCATGTACTGGGGGATCCCCGGGCTGGGCTCTGACACCGCCACAGTCAGGTAATGCAGGGAGTGGAGAACTGGGGGGACATGGAGATTTGAGGGGGTTGAGGGGGTCACGGATCAATGAAAGGGGAACTGGGAGAGCTGGAAAGGGGTTTGGGGATCCTGGGGCCAAGGAAAGGGTGTGCAGAGTGGGAGAGGTGGGATGGACAGGAAAAGGCCTACAGAGGGTCGTGGTGTCCAGGAATGGGGGCTCGGGGGGTTCCAGGGTTATGGAATGGGAGGGGGGGAAGGCAGGGACTGGGA